TATATATATAAAATCTCGTATATGAAAGTCACTATTCTCCAATCTAAAATTATATACATTTTACGAAATAATACGAAAGTAAGCGAACGTTATAAAGAGGAATACACGTATCGTTTCCTAAAATTCTTCTTTTCTTACGTGGTCTCGTTTAAAGGAATAAATAAACGAAGAAATAAACGGCGAATCGGGTGGATGGATTATTTATTTGCCCGTCCCGTTTATTATCCCGCAGCCGTAAAACCACGGAACGAGCAAAGTGGTACGAGGGCTGTTGTAGCATAGGGCTGTATCGAGGGGGCTAGGTTGCCGCGACCCCTGCTGCCGCCGCTGCCGCTTCCTGGGGGAGCCACGACCCCTCGTGCTCGGAAAATAATTCTATTAGGTTATATCGCGGTCTGCGTGAATGACGCGCGCACGCTTCGCTCAGGGGTGGTCAGGGAGGTCTGCGGTTTGTTACGCGTAACCAGCAGCCTCGCTTCTCGTTCCGGAGAGCGGAACGAATCCGCCTCGGGCCTCCTCTCCTTCGACCTTCCTCCTCCTCCTAGATTGCCCACCAATCTTATTAAGCCCCTAATTACGTCCAATCTATCGCGTTACCAACTTCTCCCTCTCCCCCTCCATCCCTAATTCTACAAAGATTCCAATATTTTTTTTTCTCCTTCTTATCCTCCTCCTTATCCATTTCTCGAAAGAGCGATTCGAAAATTTTCCTCTCGTAGAAAAAATGAAAAATTGGTCCAAATTGAAGGAGGCAGTCTTCCCTCTCTTTCTCTCTCTCTCTGCGCTGCGACGCCCGGTTGCCGAATGTCCTTAGGTAGGTGGCGCGTATGCTGGTTGCCCGGCAGTATATCTCGGTTGTGTATAAATCAGCAATGGGCGGAACCGACATGGAGCGACACCGTAGAGGTTGGAAGGAAGCCCCCCGACCCCTCTCGAGGCACGCCGCTTCCTTCGATTTATCGCGGGGCAAAGAGATTTCGCCTTCCTTCCTTCCTTCCTTCCTTTCCCCCTCCAACGATAATCGTTCTCTTTTTTTCCTTTTTGCGCGCCCCCTATTTACGCGCCTTCGCGCGTTTTTAAGGAACGAAAGGAATCGAACGGATCTTGGATGGAAATGTGCGATCCGATTCGTTGATTCGCGGGCGTTTATCTCCTCTACTCGATGTGTAACAGCTTGGACAGAGAGCGTGATCGCCTCCGGAAGCGTATTATCGCGAAGGATTCGCGTACACGTCACTCCGCACGTTAACCGTTCTTCTCGATTCACCTTCTTCCTCCGTTTATCAACGGAATGTGATAGATATTTATTTGTTTGGCATAGAAAATGGAATGCGATATCCTTTCGCACGAGGGAGAGTTGAAAAAGTTGTACGGCAAGGTGAAAATTTTTCTGGGAAGTTGATCGCTCGAAATTACGATTTTCGTTTATGTTTTTCAATTGTCGAAACGATTTTCGATAAAACGTATTTCAATATTTTAATCGTAATAGAATTCGCGTGATTCTGATCGAGGTTAAATAAATATTGTCATCCGATCCATTTTTCAAGTTTTATTGGATCTGGGTAGACCGAAATATTAGATAGAAATTCGATCGAGTTTATCGAATCCGAATTACAATTTCTCCCTCGACCGATAAGATAGAATTCGGGTTCGAAAATATTCTCTCTCTCTTTCTCTCTCACTCACTCACTCACTCTCGCGGCGAGTCGCTTCTCGTTCCTCGTTTGCATGGCAAACTGCGGGTCTCTACAGGTTACGAATCGGCGGTCATGTACCGGGGAACGGAATCGCGCAACATCTCGCCAGGATGGAACTGGTTTTCTAGTCGTTACTCGTGACTGCCCACCGCGAGTTTCGACGCCGAGCACCGCCGTACACGCGATCGCTTGTAACCAACGATCCCAGCGCACCACACGGTGAAACTTCATAAAC